CTTCTAAATTCCAGAAGTATTGATCAGTATGCTCCAGAGTAGTTAGTGAGGAATGTAATTGTGAGCATATATTGCCTCCTTAGTTGTATGTGAAATCATAGGCTAAAGTGAGACATTTAATACACGTATTTCATTTGCAGTTCGGCCCTTAGTGAATGGAAGCGTTTAAATTTGTCTGTTCTGTGGCCTCTTTTCCAAGTGTGCCAAAGTCAGACATTTTCCAGCCTTCATTATTGCAAAAAGATGTGCTCCCTCACTGCAAGATAGGCAGCAGTAGCTTCGCCGTGGAAAAACCTACATTGCTTTCTCTCCTCACTGTGTTTAGTCCTCAGCTGGAGGGCTGTGATCTCAGCCAGCTTAGTGCCTGGAGGGGAAAACCAGCAATTCCTCATTGCCGCTGTGACTGTAATGAAAGATGGCTGTCTTGATGTAAAATCACACCTGGTCGTTCAGTAGAAACACACACAGGCATACTTACCATTGGGCAACATCAAAAGCAGCCTGAGTTTTCCAGATTCAATTAATTCCCCAGGTTGCACACTTTGCTTGCACGCATCAAACACCTTCTGCTAGTAGTTACCTCATTATTATGGAAAACACAGAAAGGACTGACGTCATTTCCAAGACTATCCATCTGGCTTGAAGATAAAGCTTTCTGTCTGCTTTGAAAGTATTACAAATCAGTTCACTGCTGTTAAAAAGGACCTAAAATGAATGTTTGCTGTAGAATTGAAAGAGAGAGCTCATCAAATGGTGATATTACAAAGTTACTGGGTTTTCTAAGTGCTTTAGAATTGTTAGTATAGCATGGAGGGAGTCTGCGACTTAATGTTTCGATTAATTATGTAGATCATCTTATTTGTATGTTGGGATACATATTCAGGTGGCACAACTAAGCTTAGCTGCCATTAAGTCATTGAAGTGGCATCAATTAAGACTTGCTGAGAATGTGCATAACTGTATCAGTTCCATAAACTTTGAGATTTGGGGTGGCAGCCAAAAGCTCTTGCGAATTAGTGGGATGCGTAAGTGCTCTGGTTGTGTCTTTCTCCCAATTCTAATTCTTGCACAAGGATTTATTACACCGATTAAACAGTTCAAAACTTCCTTGGCATTGACAAAATCCTCAAGAACTTGTTTTAAGATGTCTTCAATGATGTTTTATGCCGCAACAATCTGCAGTGGCTTCTTTCCTTTCGGAGTATCTCTGGAGCAAGGCAGTTGCAAATTAGCCAGCATAAAATATGTGTTAATTTGGCTTGCTTCTCAAATTACTTCTTCTATAGTTGTATACAATGCATCACCCTTCTTACTTATCTTCTCTCCCTCCTCAACACTCTCCCCTAGTGTGTCTTGGGTATGCTTTAATTGGCTACGTTCCCTTTCTTTTTAGCAGTAGGAGGCAATTTCAAAATATGGTTGAATGTTGCCAGTTAAGTAGTATGTTCTTTCCACATATGCTTGGAAGTATGCCATGCAAACTGTTGTAATTAGTGATTCATTGGCCGATTGATTGATTTTTTCAATATAAAAGTTTTGAGACTATAAAGGTCATGTGTTTGTTTTTATGCTCTGAAAGTAGGAAAAACATATTTACCAACACAAAGCTTGCACTCTAACTTGATAATCAACAGCTTCACTATTTTTGTTGGAAGAAAGTGTAATTATAGCTGGAAAACGTGAACTGTTTCAAGCTGCTTGACAACAAACACCATGAGACACAGAAAATAGCTAACATGGAGGAAAACTTACTGTAAAAATTATTTTAACTTCAGTGTTTAGCTCTCCACAGTTAACAGTGCTGTCTGGTGTTCTTAGTACAGAATGACTCTAGTAGCAGTCAGATGCTCCCATCAAGGTCACACTACACTAAGCAACGTATATTTACCTGAACAAAGAACTAAAGTGCTGTAGGCCACTGGTTAGCAGCACTTGATACCACAAATTGATAAAGGTCAGGTGAGAAACTGGACCACTGCTTTCTTCCCAGCTGGTTCAGATTGCAGTTGCTGCTTTGGTGCAAGGCCTCAGACAGTATCAACAGAAAATAGCTTTGCCCTGAAGAGAGTTTGTAAAAGCAAAATGTAAGATATCAAACAGTAGCTTCAAACTACAAAGAAAATGGTATGTTATGATTGGTGTAATTTTTAGGGTGAATGGGAGGCACATATTGGTATAAACTCCAAGTTTTAAAGATCTGAACAATATAATGTAAAAAAAAAAAGCATTTCAAATTGGCAAAGCAAAACTGGACAGTCTACGAATAGGGTTTGAATGCAGAAGGCTGATTTTAAAACAGCCTTGTTGATTCCATAAAAATATGCCTTTGCACGTGAGACATATGCATTCCCTACTTGCCAAAGAGAGCGTAAAGGGGAAAATAGTGGTTTTCTTTATTGTGTAGGACTTGTGTAGCTCAACTGGCTGCTTCTTCTGATCTTTGATGTTTTATCTCAGCTGAAGTTCTACTTGTAGAAGCTGCAGCTTCTTAGCACTGGAGTTGCCTTAGACCTCTTGAGACATGACTGAGCTGAAGAGTGTCAGACTAAGCAAGCTGTCTCAGGCAAGCAGGCAAAAGGATTTGCACTTTGTAGTTAGCCAAAGGTTGTAGGTGGCTGGAGAACGTGGTGGTAAGGCTGGCTGCACTTTCTGCTTGGCAGACCATGGCACCTTGGCATGGTGCGTGGGCAGACTCAATCAAAACCACTTAGTTTGGAATTACTCCTTCCAAATCTTGGATCTACTTGGCCTCTTTCTTCATCATTTTTATGTATGCAAAATGATTGTAAAGTGATAGATGACTGGCAGGATTTTACTGTCACTTCACATAGCTGTAACCAACCGTGTGAAATGGAAACTTTGTTACGTTCTCTTTGCTGGCAAAGTCAGCAAGCAGAGGTCCTGCCCTCTCCATATGCACTTCCGCTGTTTCGTCCCTGGCTGCTTGTTCTTGTCCCTGTGTCACCCCTTCGCTTGTGTTGACACAACTGTTTGTTAGGACTGTGCTAAAAACATATGTGAACTGGTTTGAATTAAAAACACTTCTCATCTGATTCTTCGTCTGGCTTCATAAATAATTTGGTCTGTACAGCTGGGAGAGGAGAAGAGGCAGTGCAGGGAGGAATGGACAGCTGGGGAAGGACAAAGGGGACCTCCTGGAGCTGCCAGTGCTGCTGAGATGAAACTATCAGATGCTGTGTTTGTCAGCTTGGGCTTCTGCCCATTTAGAGAGGCACAGACCAGCCTCAGTTCTCCCAAATCACCCATTTTAATGGCGCTCTGTAGAGCAGGTCCATTACAGGACTTGTTCAGGAGCAAATTGTTCTGAATTATTCCAGTTCTTCTCTATTCTTTGTGTTCTGTGTTTGTGGTATTCACTCTAGGATCAAATCAAGAAAACAGTTACCAACTGTTTGTATTTTCAAATTAATGCATCATTTCTGAGGCAAATAAGATGTATGTTTGTTCTTTCTGGCTTTCCCATTTGATGTTTAAACTACTTATACTACAGGCCTCTGAGGTAAGTAGTTAGTGCATGACGAAACAGTCTGAACAGCAGCCCTCAAAGAAGAGATCAACATGCACATCCCAGAAAAAACATTAATCATGTGCATGAAGCACTTCTACTTCTGGTGAGTGCAGAAATTGTCTTTTTTTGCCTGGGTTATTTCTTCTCTATAGATGAGAGGAGCATACTATAATACCAGGCACATGTTATCTGAAACTGATATGCCACAATTAGCTAAGTATATGACAAGTGTATTGGTATGAACTAGTATGCAATCTCTGGATTGAATCTCAACTTTTCAAAAGATCTCCTCACTTCCACTCTCCATTTTGGCAGAGAAATAAGAAGACATTAATAGCAGAAGTGCACAGACAGCCTGTTTTTAAATGGCAGGTTTATTAAAAATGTTCTCTATCACAAACATTGGAAACACACTCAGCAGGTTTTATGGTAATAGAAAGAGTCAGTAGATAGTGGCAAGGGAGTAACTGTCAATGTAGATGAACCACTGAATTACGAGAAATAACGGGCCAGTTTCCACAAAAAACTCACAAAACCCTGATATTACCCAGCATCCTCGAATTCCAGTTTGTGTTCAGTCTGCCCTTAGGATGAAGCGTGTGGTTCAAGAGCTTGAGCTTTGGGTTTATACATAATTACAGTAGAACGGCCTAGAGATTACAGGAGAAGACACATTAGCACCAGTGCTTATGTATTAGGGCTCACCGCCTCTGCCACTGCATGTGCATGGTACTGACTCTACTGAAGAGTTAGGTTAAAAAAAGGTTAATAAATCTGGCACTTGGAAGGCAAACTGTGCTCTGCAGTGACCTAGTCGTGTTACGTATCACACTTGAATGCCTGTCTCTGAAGGCTGCCCATCAGAATTACCTTAACGTGCTTTCTTCCAAAAACGCGTGCTTTGCTTCTCCCCTGCTTGAAGTGTTATTTAGTAATACATGTAACCCCTTGAGATCAGGAAATCAATGTGATTTTCTTGCTGTTATTCTAAAACTAAGCACAAACTCTATGTTTAGTGAATATTAGACAAAACCAGTATCTTTAGCAGTTTTGGTGAAATAGTTTCACATAGCAAAAAATCTACATAAATACAGTGTTCATAATTACCGAGTTTCACAAAAAAAAAAAAGGCTTTGGTTAGAAAATCAAAAAGGGTCAAATAAAAAACACCTTAAAAAAAAGAATCCAAAGGAGTGTCAAATACTATATTGGAGTCAAACGAGTGCAGAATAAAACCGTAGTTGTCCATTAGTTAATTTTTCAGTATGACAATCTTCCACCTAAAGAAGCCCATGTCTCTTGCAAGCTGTGTGCCTTTCCTGACGTTCACAGCTGGTCTCCAAGCTCCGGTACAAGCAGAGTGGTGATAATTCCACATTTTCCTGTTCAAGGCAAAGAGTCCCTCTTCCAGCTGTGAGGTAGAGATTGGGTATCAGGTCACTGGGGTATGAGATACCACTGAAAGTAGCAGTCACACGTTTGTTTCTAGTTCATTTATTTCAATAGTGCAGTGGTCTTTACTGTTGGATTTCTTAGTGTGATTCTCCACTGGACTTTCTTCTTGCTCCACTTGTACGGGTATGTGGTGCTGAAACCCTTTCACTGTTTCTGGTCCACGGGATTCATTCATGGTCTTCACACAGCCATTTCTCTGGTAAGCCACAATCTGATGGATGTTAACAGGCTTAGTTTCACAGATCAATGGCACCTATGTGAAAAGTATTCAGATTTGGAATACTGCTACTGTTTACTGTATACAACGGGAAAAGTAGTTTTACTTTGAAAGCCTGTAGTCTGCTTTACATTCACCAGGATTATTTATGGCCTCCACAGGCTTCCAGAATCTGTTTCTCACATACACTAAAGCATCTTTGCACCATCTGGATAAAGTGAAGGTGTCTCTACATATGTAAAAATGCAAATTCTGTCACAACTGTTATTTAACTTACACCTACAGCAATAACTGCTCACATCAGTGAAGTGCTATAAGTAGGGGAAATAAATATTAGAACTTCAGGGCTAAGTTTGAAAGATACGGACTCTCTCAATGACCAATACGCTGCGCTTTGGGCAGTGCTTGCTCTGGAGTGCAATTACATAGACCAGTAAGTATCTGTTTTTGTCTTTCTGCCTTTCTTCTAACCCAATAAACTAACACCTGTCCTTTCAGTTTGCACTATTTCAAAAGAAATTAAGACGATTTTATTGACTGATTCATAAGTTAAATATTGAAGTGTCCTTTAAATTAAACCAGAAGTGTCGATGGGGAAAATAAGACGCAAATACTGGCAGAGAAAAGAGGTGGGCTTGCAGCTGAGAAAATTTGGCTGTTGGGTATACATTACTAACTCCACAAATTATGCAGCCAAAACATATGGCAGACTAATGATATATTTTAATACAATTATAGAGCATGATGCAAAGAAAAATCTCATCACAGATGACTAAATAATCCCTTAGGAGGGATTTTATATTCTTGAAACATCTCTTCTTGTGTTCTGACTGAGTTCTAAATACAGCAATGAAATGTCAGGAGGCCTGTGTTACACAGGAGCTCAGACTACACTTTTAGATTTGTAATGGATGACATACATACCATACCGTTAGGTTGTATGTTTAGGTTTTTTGTAGCTAGCTATATATGTAGCCCGTATATTCAGGCCTAATCCTGTCATCAGTAATTACTGAAGGTGCTAAGTACCTCAGAGAATAAGGCTTGTCTTTCTAAATAAAACTTGAAAGAATAGGAATTTTAAATGCATGTTGCAGGAGGACATGAGAATGGGAATTACCGGAAAGACTGTCTGTAAAATGGGAGAAATAATAATAGAAATAAAACTTTGCTATTAATACTGTTGTTCTTTGTTGAATACTATAAATGATGCACAGAAACAAAACATGCCTTGTGAAAATCCGTCCCAATGAAGAAACGAAAGGTTTGCGTAAACTATTCTGTCTTTGTGGAGGAAAGGTAGTGAGTCTGTCATGTGCTGAAATTGTTGGGCATTGGCACCTCCAAGCATGATGGGCTCGTAGAATTAGAAATCTCCTTTGATTTCTAATTTGAAGGAAGAGCATGAGCAGGAGTTGCTGGTATAAGAAAGACTGAATGATGCATGCCAAGGAAGAAGGAAAAAAAGCATAAGAGTGAAGGGGGGCAGGGGCAGAATACAGAGGTATATGTGGTGTATGGAAGAAGATATAGAGAAAGAAAAACGAAGAAGTAAGGAGGGACTTGTATTAATTGTAGAAGGCATGAAGAGGTCTGATAATGAAGTCTAGAATGGAGCAACATGCTTGTGCTAGTCTAGAAAGGAAATTATTCCAATGGTGGCTTTAGATTATGCTAACACAGAGGCTTGAAGCACCCATGGTAGTTTCTTTTGTTGTGAGCTTATTGATTATGCATATACACACTCATAGGTACCTTTACCTCCCCCTACACAGAAACACTCAAAGACATGCATCTTGTTACCCTGGTCTGTTGCTGGTCTCATTTTCAGAAAAAGATAGCTTACTGGCCGGTCAGGAATGTGTTTGCAGGACAATGCAGCTGCTTCTCCTTCTCCCAGCCCATGTGCCAGACACAGCTGGCTGGCAGGCTTTGAATTAGAGTGGCTTTTTGCATGACCTCATGGAAAAGAACCCCTCCACCCCATGTGGCTAAGCAGCACACTGCCAAATTCTGTCCTCTGTCTGAAACACCTTTTATAAACTAGATGAAACAAATGTGGGAGGCTGAGAGCTCGCAGGTTCTTTGCCACAATACAGCACACGCTGGCACACCCTGGCTCATGGCATTGTTACCTCGTCGCCGTCCTTGATGAACTCCTTCCGGCAGATGTGGGCCATGATCCCAGCAGCCAGCGCGTCTCCCAGGACATTGATCATTGTTCTAAACCTGTCTCTGGCAAAGGAAATAGTAATAGTAAGTTGTTGGCTCTTTGAGTACGTACCTATGCCTTCATCGCTGCAGTAATTACAGCTGAAGGCCGGTTTCGCTGTTTTTATGAGCTAAAAAGTTTCAAAATGGTAGTAAGGAGTTTGGCACGGCAGAACCATTAGTTATTGAGCTGCTCAGTTGTGTTTTCCAGCCTTTTCTAAGCTCAGTGCCCTGTGCTGCCACATACCTTAATTTGTAGCAGCTATGCCTCCCTATACACACAAACTGATTCAGTGCTAGAAAGGTTTAACACAGCAGATCAAGATTACATTTATGTCTGAGTTTTTATGTTAAGGCTCAGTATTATGGCCCGACTTGGAGGCTGGTGCTGCAAATGTCTTGATTCAACAAAATAGAGGGTAGTCAGTACAACCAGTACTTTGTACTAGGCATCAAGGTCCCAATCTCAGCAACTATAGTGCTAGTTAAGGAGATTATTGTATTGGTAGAATGTGCAGAATACAATCAAAATTATTCAGAAGATTGTTAAATGGCTACACTCACAAACTAAGCAGGTGCTGACTATATTTAAATCACGCTTATTTCTGAAAAAGCTATGGTTGCTATGGCTACCAGTGGCTCTTGAAGTTTCTTCATTTTCAATTGTCACATTTTCCAATTTAAATTTGTATGCTTGACAGTGCTTTGTATATATACAGTTTGACTATTTTTCATTTATGAGATCATTCCTCCCTGTTTACACCTTCTACCCACGGTCTAAAAAATAAATCTATTAAAATAGAGACTGTAAACACACAAAAGTAAGTGGCTGTCATAGACAAGTATTACATGTGAAACAGCTTGGAATCTATTAGTTAAAATTGATGAGATTTCAAATAGGTGATACAGCTTTTAAGTCTGAAATATATCACATCTTTTCCAAGAAAAACATACACATCTGAAAACTGTGTCATATTGGTAACTTAATTTATAAATGTGGGTTATAAAATGGAGGTTCAGAAATCTCCAGATGTTTGGCTTATTACAGTCAGTGACAGTCCAATATCAACACTGCTCAGATTTCTGATCCTGTATCTCAATATAGGAAAGAATTTAAACTGTGTGCTTAGGTTTTTTTTTCAGATATTTGAGGCATGTACTGTGTGTATGCAAATGTTTACGCAGTTGCTTGCCTAATTAGCATGAAAGTTCCTGCATGAAAGGTTATTTGTGTGTGCAGTTACCCAAATTGTACACGCAACTGCAAGTTAGTTCAGCAATAATATTCCACAGCCCACACCTAGACGTGATTGTTGACTCCAGGACCCAGTCCTTCACTTGTGTGCTGAATGCATTTTT